ATCAGCAAGAAATGCCACTTAATTCAGTGCTTTAACGACACTCAGGCAAGAAACAAGGGGTAGGTGGTTAGGGGGTGGGTCTGGGGGGATTTGACACTGGTATTCCCATTCTAGGAGGAAAAAAAAGGAAAAAAAGAGAGAGAAAAGACAGAATTGGCAGCTCCGCTTCAAGATTTCGATGCTTTCCTCTTGCCTTTGGCCCAGATCTTCCCATGAAGCTTTGTCACCTCTGCTCACCCTTTCTGAGCCACCCTCACCTGAAGGAAGCAATCCCCTAAGTTCCCAATTCCCTAAGCACCCTCTCTGGCAGGGAATTTCCCTTCCCTTCCCAAAGGTGGGCAGTGGATACCACCTACTGGTCACCACCTCGAGTGATGCAGCACAGAACCTGCCCTCCCAAAGCTTGCACCGAAGCAAGTCCTTGCCTTTGGGGGTGCTTAGGACTGAGGCAAGAGCCACAACGTCCTCCTTATCCTCTCCCCTTGCTGCTGAAGCCACCAGAGATAAGCCAGGCCCAGCCTGTGGGCCATGAGAGATAAGCCAGGCTCAGCCTGTGGGATCTATCTGCATGCCCCTACCTTGCTGCCAGGAAAGACCCATTAGCAAGCACAGTCAGAGCATCACCAATTCATCACTTGGGGGGTTAAGGTGAAGGTTTAATTCAGTCCCAAATCCCTCATCCTAAAAGGGAAAAGCTGGGCTTGGAATTCACTTCCTTAAGATCAAAACCTCGCCACTGAGAAAACACAACATCAACTCACAAGGCCACAATCCCCCTGCAAAAAATGAACAGCACCTCCTGCAAAAGGCACCTTAAGCCAGCTCCTAAGCCAGAGTATTGGGGGGAAACCCAGGCAGATTGGGTCATTTACACTGCTCTTTCAAGCAGAGCTCCAATGGCACTTATACGACTCTAACTTGCTCCTGAGGAGTCCAGTGACATCAAACCAAAAGAAGAAATGTTTAAAGAACATCTGGGTTGTGCTTGAAATCAGTTTATTTTTTTTTTAATGGAAAAAAAAAAAATACATGCTTACAACACAAGAAAAATACAAACCAACCTCAGCCATAACATCCATTCCCCCCCCCCCCCAAATGCACCACAAAGGGGAAGACACACGGGCTGGGACCTGCCTTTAAGCCATTGCATCGCCCAGCAAAGGAGATCCTAGAACAGTGTGGGTTGGAAAGGACCTTAAGATCATCCAGTTCCAACCCCCTGCCATGGGCAGGGACACTTCACACTAAACCATGGCACCCGAGGCTTCATCCAACCTGGCCTTGAGCACCACCAGGGATGGAGCAGTCACAGCTTCTCTGGGCAACCCATTCCAGTGCCTCACCACCCTCACAGGAAAGAATTTCCTCCTTAGATCCAATCTAAACTCCCCCTGTTTCACTTTGAACCCGTTACCCCTTGTCCTGTCACTGCAGTCCCTAATGAAGAGTCCCTCTCCAGCATCCCTATGGCCCCCTTCAGACACTGGAAGCTGCTCTGAGGTCTCTGTGCAGCCTTCTCTTCTCCAGGCTGCACAGCCCCAACTTCCTCAGCCTAAAGAGCTCAGCATCTGGCTGAAAGCATCCTGAAGGGGGCAACCGGAGCCTGCAACCCCCTTCCCCGCCCCACTCCCCTGTTGGAGAGCAGAGTTGCTGCTCGCCACCCCCCCCCCCCTCCCCAGCCTTGTACTTGCCATTGATCAGCCCCAGGGCCTCGTCTTTGGTCCTCGTGATCTTGTCCTGCCGCCAGGAGGACGGGCGCCGGGACTGGTTGTGCTTCACCAGCAGGTGGGAGCACCGCACCTTGCTGGGCTCACCGGGCCCGTTCCTACCGCCGCCGCTACCGGGGCCGCCGCTGCCGCTGCCGCCGCCGCCGCTGGGCCGCTCCCACTGGCTGGCGTTGGTGATGTGGTTGAAGTAATAGACCCGGCCTGGGGACACACAGAGAGAGGGGGAGAGGGGCTGAGTTCAGGGGGGGGAGATCTGCACGAAGCTGCTGAGCCCCACAGGCAGCTTCGGGACCCCCAAGAGGCAGCTTCGGGACCCCCGAGAGGCAGCTCCGGGACCCCCGAGAGGCAGCTCCGGGACCCCCGAGAGGCAGCTCCGGGACCCCCAAAACAGCTTTATCTGCTCCAGGAAGCAGCTTCTGGCCCCAAGAAGCTGCTTCTGACCCCCAAGAGGCAGCTTCTGACCCCCAGAAGGTGCTCTCTCTGACCCCCAGGAGGCAGCTTCGGACCCCCAAGATGCAGTTTTCTCTGCCTCAAGAATCAGCTTCTAACCCCCAAAACAGCTTTCTCTGCTCCAAGAAGCAGCTTCTGGCCCCCCAAGAGGCAGATTCTGACCCCAAGAAGCAGCTTCTAACCCGCAGAAGCAGCTTTCTTGGCCTCAAGAACCAGCTTTTGGCCCCCCGAAACAGCTTTCCCTACCCTCAGAACCAACTTCTGCCCCCAAACTCCGCTTCCTCAAGCCTCCACACCAGGTTTTAACCCCCAGAAGCAGCTTTCTCTGCCCCAAGAATCAGCTTCTAACCCCCCGAAGCAGCTTTCCCTGCTCCTAGAACCAGTTTCTGCCCCCCCACTCGGCTTCCTCAAGCCTCCACACCAGGTTTTAACCCCCAGAAGCAGCTTTCTCCGCCCCCCCCAAGCAGCTCTTTAGCCCCCGAGGCCCCGGCAGGGTGCATTCTGTGTGTACTCGGCCGCATCCCCCCTCCACGAGCTCAGCCCCCCGATGCAGGGGGAGGCCTCCACACCTCCGCTATTCCCCACGCTCCGTTCCCATCGCTCACCGGAGGCTCCAGCCTTTCCCATCGGCAACCACGGCAGCACCGTGCCCGTACCGGGAAGGGCAAAGCCTCCCCCCTTTGCTTCCATTGCACCGCTCACCCCCAGAGCTCTCCATTGAAGCAGACCCAAGCCCACAGGGCCCCAATTCCCCCTTGCAACCCCAAGCAACAGCCTCCGGATGCTCCCACCGAAGCAAAGGGTCCCCCAGGCCCCCTTTAACACCCCCAACCCACCCCAGAACCGGGCTCTGGAACCGGGCGCCTCTCGCCCATAACGGCGCCGGCCCCAATCCTCCGCAGCCGCACCGGGAGCAAAGCCTCCTCCTTAGGCCTTCAGAGAGCGCCTTCTCCCGGTCCCACCGGTGGCGGAGCAACCCCGGCCCGGCCCCACGCAGCACCGAGGCCCCGGAGCCCCGCACACCACGGCGAGGCCTAGGCCGGGCCTACCCGGCCCGCGACCCCCGGTGAGGCCTAAACCGGGCCCCACCGCCCACGCGACCCTCCCGGTGAGGCCCAGGCCGGGCTGCCGCTGCCCCCCCTACCCCGAGCCCCGCCGTTGGCCGTACCGGAGCTGCGGCTCATGCGCTTCTCCCAGCCCGCGGGCAGCTTCTCCTCCTCCGCCATCTTCCCTCGGCTGCGCCTCCCGCACCCGTGGTGGGGAAGGAAGAAGGAGGAGGGTGGGTGGGACAACTGTCCCGTTCCCTGCTCCCATTGGCCAAAGGGAAGGCCGCGCCCAAGCTTCCCGCGCTGCCATTGGTGGAAGAGCCTGTCCGTCTGGTGCTCGGGGGGGGGGGGCTGGACAGTGGAGCGGACGGTGGCCGCGGGTGGGCAAAAGATGTCAGAGAGCGAAGCGAAGCAGCAAAACGTCGGTCTCCGCCCCCCACCATCCCCGGTTCAGCGGCTCCCGGTGCCGCCCCCCCCGAGCCACGCAAGAACCAGAGACCCGAGAAACACATTTATTAGAAACCACTTAAACGCTCCAGGGCAGCTGCAGCAGGTTCAGAGCCTCAACACGGCCCGGGGAGGGACAACGGGGTTTGGGATGGGGGGGTCCCCACGGAGAGGGGAGCACCGGGAAGGAACGGCAGCCGCTACTGGTAGTAGAGCTCCAGGTTCATGCCATCATGGATCTCATCTGGAGGATGGGGTTAAGGAGAAGAGATGGGGAAGGATGCAGTGAACACCCCCCCCCCATCCACCCATTAATAGGGTGAAACACCCGCCCGCAGCAGGATACAGTCGCCCAGCGTGACGTGATCCTTGAAGATGGTGTACCTGCGGGGACGGAAAGCGGGGCTGGTACCGGCTCCACCGCCCCAGCATGGGGAAGGGGAGAGCCCCCCGGGGGGGGGGACGGGGGACACGATGCAGGCCTCGACTGCTTCCAGCCCGCTGCCACTCACCACTTCTTGAGCACGATCTTATCCCAGCGGGTGCCGGTCTGCGCCGCGATCAGCTTCTTCAGGTCCCGGATCGAGTCCTCGGTGCTAATGGGGGCGTTAAGGAAAAGAGGAGGAAGGAACTGGGGAAAGGGGGGGAAGAACCCGGACTAGGGGGGGAGAGAAAGGGAAGGGGGGGGGGGGGAGGAAAAGGAGGCAGAAGAACCGGGAAAAGCGGGGAAAGGAACCGGGAAAAGGGGGGGAGGAACCAGGAAAAGGAGGGGGAGAAACCGGGAAAAGGGGGGGAAGGAATCAGGAAAAGGGGGGAGGGGGGAAGGAACTGGAAAAGGGGGGGAAGGAACCGGGAAAAGGGGGGGGGAACCAGGAAAAGGGGGGGGGGGAGGAACCGGGAAAAGGGGCGGGAAGGAACCGGGAAAAGGGGCGGGAAGGACGGGGAAAAGGGGGGGGGAACCAGGAAAAGGGGGGGGGGGGGGGGGGGGAAGGAACTGGAAAAGGGGGGGGGAAGGAATCGGGAAAAGGGGGGGAAGGAACCGGGAAAAGGGGGGGAGAACCAGGAAAAGGGGGGGGGGAGGAACCGGGAAAAGGGGCGGGAAGGAACCGGGAAAAGGGGGGGGGGAAGAACGGGGAAAAGGGGGGGAAGGAATCGGGAAAAGGGGGGGGAAGGAACCGGGAAAAGGGGGGGGGGAAGAACGGGGAAAAGGGGGGGAAGGAACCGGGAAAAGCCCCCTCCCCCCTCAGCCCCCCCGCTCCCGGTTCTCGGCGGATACTTGCATTTCACCCGCACTTTCTTGCCCAAGCGGTCGTTGCAGACGACTTCGATCATGGTTGCCTGGAGGACGAGGCCGGGTTAACGGGGAGGACACCGGCTGGGGGGGGGGGTAACGGGGTTAAACACGGAAGGGCCCGGAGCCCCCCACCCCGGTACTCACCGAGCTCCGCCACAGCGCCGGAAGCGGAAGTTAGCCGGGGAGCAAACCGGAAGAGGAAGTGTTGGGGGACCGGGCAAGATGGCGGCGGCGGCGGCAGCAGGGGGGGCTCGGTGCTGCCCGATTCGGTGCTGCTGCCGCCGTGGGACCGGCTGAGAGCGGCCGGGTAGGGCCCCCCCTTGTACCGGTACCGGCTGCTTTCGGGCCCGGCCCTGATCGCTTCCCCGCAGGGTCTGCCGCCGGTGGCGGCGGCTCGCGTTGGACCGGACGGTGTGGAGACACGTGGATCTGAGCCAGCGCCGGGTACGGGAGCACCCCAGTGTGGGCAGGGGATTGAGGGGGGGATCACCCCATTGCGGGCAGGGGATTGAGGGGGGGATCACCCCATTGCAGGTGGGAGATCACCCCACTGCAGGCAGGGGGTTGAGGGGGGGATCACCCCATTGCAGGCGGGAGATTGAGGTGGGGATCACCCCATTGCAGGCAGGGGATTGAGGGGGGGATCACCCCATTGCGGGCAGGGGATTGAGGGGGGGATCACCCCATTGCGGGCAGGGGATTGAGGGGGGGATCACCCCATTGCGGGCAGGGGATTGAGGGGGGGATCACCCCATTGCAGACAGGGGCTGAGACAGGATCACCCCATTGCAGACAGGGGCTGAGACAGGATTTCCCCATTGCAGGCAGGGGATTGAGGGGGGAATCACCCCATTGCAGACAGGGGCCGTGCCGCGGTTAAAAAAGATGGAAAAGTTCAGTGGTGTCCACTTAAGTCCCTCAAACCAGACCTCCAGAAACAGAACTAACAAAACTGTGAGTTTTCATCCACAGAATCGGATTATCGGATGTCCTCGTAACCCATACGCCCCAGTAACAAGAGAAGATGACAAGTCAACAGACATCCTGCCCACACCTAGTTCCGCACCGACAGACTCTGCACAACAGCCACATAACCCCCATACACGGAGGCTACGATGTCTTTTTGTGATCCTCATTTTACAGCTTGTCGCTATAGGACAAGCAGTATCAGAATACCACCCCCATCAGCCTTTTAAGTGGACCTTGTCTAGGTAGGAAGACCAAAAAGTTATCCAAAGCCTAGTCACAACAGGAGGGCCCACCTTTACAGCTAGCCTCTGTCAACTAGTGCCTAGAGACCCGTGTTTAGATCATATAGGGTATTATTTCTGCCCGAGCTCGAATCCAGGAAAAGGATATTGCAATTACCCCGGGGAATATTATTGTGCCTACGGGGGATGCGAGACAATAGCTTCAAATTGGGTCCCTGAAACTCCAGACAGGTTTTTAAGGGTACAATGGGGGGCCTTATGGATGTACCCCTCCGGAACAAAGTTGGAATGAAGGAATAGTATTAGCTCCCCGTGGGAGAATCGACCTGGGGAGCTGTCAGCATCTTATGATTAATGTAACAAACCCTTTCGACCATGGGTGGATAATAGGGAAAACTTGGGGGGTACGATATAAGGAATCAGGAACCGATACAGGGGGCCTCATTTTAATAAAGAAGGAACCAATCCCACGAGATCCTAAACCCGTAGGATCTAATCCGGTTCTTCACCCAGAAGTACCTGTCCCAATGATGCCCAACCCAACGACACCTACACCATTACCACACAGTATTGGAAGTAGTACTGAAGTTATTGCACACACCACCAAAATTTTCGATCAAAATTCTCTTTGGAAAATGATGCAAGCTAGCTATCAACTACTGAACAAAACTCACCCAAATCTCACAGAGCATTGTTGGTTGTGCTACGGGATAAACCCCCCCTTTTACGAGGCTATAGGAGTAAGCGACGCACCCAGACGAGCAAATGGTATGAATCCAGCCCAGTGTGGTTGGAACACAGACAAACAAGGGATTACATTAGCACATGTGGTGGGAAGCGGCGTGTGCATAGGTAAAATCCCAAAACATAAAAAACAACTGAGTACTAATGTCACACAACCTAAAACCCCTGCACGGTGGCTAATACCGGCCAGCAATGCCAAGTGAGTTTGTTCCGTTATGGGAGTTACACCTTGTTTGTTGTTAGACAAATTTAATGACTCCTCAGAATATTGTGTCCAAGTAACTATAGTCCCTAAAATCTTCTACCATGCTGAAAATTTTGTCTATGATTCACAAATGACCCCGGAACACCATCTGTCAAAACGGGAACCCTTTACAGCACCAACAATAGCCACTCTAATGAGCGTAGGATGTGCAGGAATAGGTACAGGAGTAGCATCCTTAGTGCATCAAAATAAAGAACTTAGCGCCCTGAGAATGGCAATGGACGAGGACCTGGCTAGAGTTGAACAATCAATCAGTGCATTAGAAAGTTCACTTAGATCACTAGCTGAAGTAGTGCTACAAAATCAAAGAGGGTTAGACCTAGCGTTCTTACAACGAGGAGGAGGATGCGTCGCGCTGAGGGAAGAATGTTGTCTATATGCCGACCACACTGGAATAGTGAGGGATGCTATGGCCAAACTACGAGAAGGACTAGAAAAACGGGAACGAGAGGCGCAACAAAATTGGTTTGCATCATGGTTTAACCATTCCCCATGGCTTGCCACCCTAATATCTACCCTGATAGGGCCAATTATAACAATCATGATAGCGTTGATGTTTGGACCCTCTATATTGAATAAGCTGGTGTCGTTTGTCAAAAGCCGTCTAGGAAAAGTTAACATCATGCTGATAGAACGCCAACAATTGCTTTAAGAGTGCTCTTGCTTAGAATTTTTACCCATCTCCAGTTATACCCTGTTATTCTCTGTTACATCTTCGTTATCTCTTGCTTAACATGCCTTATATTTTTTATTCAAGTATATGGTGTGTGTTTTAAGGAATGTTGTAAAACACAGATTAAGATACATTTAGCATGTTATCCAAGATTACGATACATGTATTTTAAATGTTGTTATATTTAGCCAATTTAGTGATGCATAGGGAGAGGGGAAATGTAGGTAGTTAGGGTCTGGTGGCCGGAAGATATCGCGCTGTAGGGAAAGATGGGGCCCCTCTCTTGATAGCCAATAGCATTTAGTTTGTGATGTAGGCAGACGGAAGTGACGTCACAAACCCAGGGTATATAATGCTGTGTTACATACCAATAAATGCCATTTGCCATCCACCGCATTGGTGGCTGTGAGCTGATGGCCCGAGTGGCCTGGGGTTGGTCACCGTGCCGTTCCTGAACCAGGTCGCCACGGCTTGTGAAGGCAACAGGGCTGAGACGGGATCACCCCATTGCAGGCAGGGGATTGAGGGGGGGATCACCCCATTGCAGGCAGGAGCTGATGGGGGGGATCACCCCATTGCAGGCAGGAGCTGATGGGGGGGGTGACCCCATTGCAGACAGAAGCTGATGGGGGGGATCACCCCATTGCAGACAGGAGCTGATGGGGGGGGATCACCCCATTGCAGGCGGGGGGTTGAGGGGGGGATGGCCCCATTGCAGGCAGGAGCTGATGGGAGGGGATGACCCCATTGCAGACAGGAGCTGATGGGGGGGATGACCCCATTGCAGACAGGAGCTGATGGGGGGATGACCCCATTGCAGACAGGAGCTGATGGGGGCGATCACCCCATTGCAGACAGGAGGTGATGGGGGGGATGACCCCATTGCAGACAGGAGCTGATGGGGGGGATGACCCCATTGCAGACATGGTTCCCCCATTCCCCACTCTCTGAGCCCAGCCCCTGTCCTGTTGATGACCCCATTGCAGGCAGGAGCTGTTCCCCCAGGAGCTGATGGGGGGGGATGACCCCCCCATGGGGGGATGACCCCATTGTTGACCCCATTGCCCCCCTCCCCAAGCACCTCAGCTCCAGGGCCCTGTGGCAGCTCCTTCTCCGGCACCTCCCCGCGGGGCTGTGCACGCTGCGGGCCCGGGGCTCCCTCCTCTCCCCCTCCCGGCCTCCCCTCCTGTCCCCGGCGCTGCTTGGCGGCCCTGGGCCAGCGCTGCCCCCCCCCGGCTCCAACGCCTGAGCCTGGCCGAGACCGACGTGCGCCGGGTCCCCTACGAGAGCATCCCCGCTTCCACCCGCCCGCCTCCTCCCCGCGGCCTCTTCGCCACCTCCTGGTCCACCACGTCCCGGCCTTCAGCGACCGGCACTTGGTGGCTGCCTGCTCCCGGCACCGCCTGGAGATGCTGAGCCTGCGGGGCTCCTATCGCCTGACGGAGCCCGACCTGCAGCGCGCTGCTCCCTGCCTGGCTGCGGGGCTGCGGCGCCGGCGATGCCGCCACGGGCTCCCTTGGGTACCACTTGAAGCGGCTGCGGGAGCTCGAGGTCGTTGCTTGCCCCGTGAGCGGCTTTAAAGAGCCTGCAGCACCTGGAGATGCTTTGCCTTGAGCTGGGGTGAAGGTGTCTGCCGGGGCTGTGGTTGCCTTGGGCTCGCGTCACAACGGGAGTCCTGGATCAAATCCGGCTGAATTTATCCCATTGCAGCTGCTCCCATTCGCCTCAACCCCCAGCCTGAAGCAGCTGGGGCTGCCAAGCCTGTTTTAGGGCCAGAGTGGCCACACGATAGCGAGTGCATCCCATAAAGGGGCTTGGTAGGAAGTTGGGTTTGCAGGGATCCCCACCACCACCCCAACTCTGTTTTCTATGGAGCAGGGGAATAGGGAAGCCAGGGAGCAGCCGTCTCTTGGGAACGCCGCTGAGGAGGTGACCAGAGACGAGCTGAGGTTCCCTCTGCTCCTCTTCCCTCCCCACCGAGCACCAGGCAGCAGCTCAAGGAGCACAGAACTGGAAGAGCCACTGGAATAAAAGAGATCCAGGAGCCCAGATCCCAAACTTCCAGTCAACATCCAGCTCCAGCAGCCCACATGCACACTCCAGCCTCTGCTGGGGAAGAGGGGGATACCCCAGCCACACGCTTCTGCTTGGAGAAGCCTGGGCAAGGCGTGCTTCCCAATCCAGGATGTCCTTGCTTGGACTTCCCTTGGAATTCCGCTCTTCAGGTTACTCCTTGGGAAGCCTTTATGCATGGGGGCTTCCTGGGTACGTGGTCCTGAGGTCCTGTTTGCCCAGTGCTCTTGGGCATCACCGACAGCCACGTTTCCCCCTCGCCTTCTGTTGTCATCGTCCTCCCTGCGGTGTCCGCTGCCATGGAACGCTGCGACGTTCCCATTCCGAGGTTATCCCATCAACCAGGGAGGGCTTTGGATGATTTCTTGTGTTTATTAAATCAAACTGCTTCCGACTGATGCTTCCTGGGCTGGTTTCATCCTGTCCTCCACTCTGCTTCAGCAATGAGCCATTGGGTTCCACACAGCCCCGACGGCAGTGACCCCCCCACCATGATGAAACCCTCACCCTGCCCCTTGCCAACTGCAGGTCTTTGTGCCCTGGCTTCTTTCCTGCTCCCATTCCCAACCTCTGGAGCTGTGGGGCAAGCAAACAACGGGAACATGCCCCCAGCTCTGCTTTGGAACACATCCCAAGGCTGTTGGCTTAGTAACACCCGTTCCCTGTTTATCTTGCTCAGTACCCCCAGCTCCATGTTTCTCCCAGGCCTGGAGGTTCCCAGTGGAGTGATTCCTGTTATTAAAACCGGGAGCAGCGAGGAGGGAAAACAGCAAAGGGAGAATGAATCCCGGGATAAAGCCAAGTCAAGGCACAGCTGGAGCCAAAGCGCTCCCTCAATGCTTGCAGCGGGATGCTCCCGGCAACGGGATTTAATATCCAGCAATCCCAACTGGCCAGTTTTCCATCATCTCCCAGCACGTCATCGCTGAACACAACGGCACAGCCCAGCAATTCCCGGTTTCCAAGGCACAAAGTGGCCCTTTCAGGTTGGGAAGCGGGAGGGGAGCTGGGAATCCGGGGTGACCGGGGGCAAATGTTGGGAATCGAGGACAAGGGGTGAAGGAACGGGACAAGGGGGAATGGCTTTAAGCTGCCAGAGGGGAGGTGGAGATGGGGTCTTGGGATGTTCTTCCCCATGAGGGTGGTGGGACACAGGGATGGGTTGAAGGGAGAAGTTTGGGATGAGCCATCCCTGTTCAAGGCTGGATCGGATGGGGCTTGGAGCACCCTGCTCCAGTGGAAGGTGCCAGGAGTTGGAGCTGGATGAGCTTTGGGATCCCTTCCCACCCATCCTATGAGTCTATGGGAAGACTTGCAGAGAGCCTCAGTGAATCCAGGCCATGAACAGCCCCCCCAGCACCCCACCAGGGCCACCAACATGGAAAGAGACCTTAGGGAGCCCCTAAAGCTGGGTTATCCGAGGGCAGAGTGACCCTGCTCCAAGCAAGCCGTCCCCGTGTCCCCATCGCTTCCATTGGAAGTGGCCACAATCCAAGGTGCTCCTGGGAGAGGACAAGCCCATGGGACAGAGCCTGGTTAAATTATAACCCTGGGGCTCAGCACCCAGGAGCTGCTGCAGGTTCTCCACTGCAAGAGCCTGATTGAGGAGCTTCTGCTTCCTCCATCCTAAGCTTCATCCCCCCCCTCCCCGCCCCACCTCCTCCCCACCAGAGCTTACCAGGATGGAGGAGGAGCATCTTCATGAGGACCTGAAGGTCTTTCAAGGTAAGCTTCAGCCTCAAAGAGGAGGAGGAGGAGGAGGGAACATGGGCTTCCATCACCAACATGGCTTAGGAGGAAGAGGAAGGTCTAAGGCCTCTTTCCTCCTCCTCTTGGGCACCTTGTGGGATGGATTGGGATGGGGACCCACCCCTTGCAAAGGCTCAGATGGAAAAGGAGAGAAAGGGACATTGCACACATGAAGGGCTCTTGGTGGAGCCCAACCAGCAACACCGGAGAGGGTTCCGTGTCCTGCACCTTTCCCAAATGGAGCTCCCAAGCCTGGAATGTGGGAGCCCGTTTCCCACATTCAACCCCTCCGATACGGGCATCAGATGCCAGCTCCAGCCAGCAGAGACATTCCAGACCATGGATGGTCACTCGGGGAGCAATTTCCCTGTTAAGAAGGGGGTTAGGAGGCACCAGGAGGCTTTCAGACCACATTCCAGCCCCAACCCCATGGCTCAAGATCATCCCTTTGCCTTCTGTAGCAGATCATTGACCACTGCAGGTTATTTATTAACCCTTCTCTAAACGGGCCGGAGGAGCTGTCCCGCTGATCCCAAGGGAATACTTTGCCATCCCGATGCTTTTGTTTTAAAGACAGAAACTTCTTCAGGCAGAAGCTGAAGTCCTTCGTCACCGTCTATTTGCTGCTGGCCCTCTCCTTCCTCCTCATCTTCACCCTCTTCGCTGTGTCGCTCTCCAGAGGTACTGGAACGCCTCGGAACTGATGGATTGGGCACATGGAACCCAGGGATACATGAGGTCTAAGGGGGTGCTTCCTAAAGGTCCTAATCCCACAGGACGGAGCTCCTGTGTAGTGACCATTGATGTCCATGGCACTATGGCTCATCCAAGCTACAAGCCCTATAGGCTGCTGGAAGGGCTTGGATAGGGCTTAAGGCCACGTTGGATGGGGCTTGGAGCACCCTGCTCTAGTGGAAGGTGTCCTTGCCCATGGCAGGGTGTTGGAACTGGGTGAGCTTTAAGATCCCTTCATCCCAATTCGATCCAGTGGGATGCTTTCCAGCCTGGGGCTCTGTGGGAGGTGAAGCACGCCTTTAGCTGTGAGGGGGTGAGGTGCTTGCTTGGCCGCAACCCGAGCCCTGACCCAGCATCAATCCTTCTCTCCCCATAGTTTCAGCCATTTCTTCGAAGCTCCAGGAGCTGCCCCCGCAGCAGAACCACACCGTTTCGGGCAGGGATTTCCTCTGTAAGTCCCGGTTCCCCCCCGCCCCATCCCATCAGCTTTCCCTCCCCAGAGAGCCCCTGGGGCGCATCGCTTCCCTGAGGGGCTGCAGGGCATCGCCCCCCTCTGCCTTTGCTGCTTTGCCAGCCACGACCACTTCCTTATCCCATAGGGAACCGGTTTTCCCAGGTCACTGAAGCCTTTTGGGATGCTGGCGGCCACCTTTGTGCCGATCCAGCCTCCAACAAGCTCCGGGTTGGGACCGACACCCCCCCTCATCCCTCTGACTTCTCCCTCCCCATCTTTCTTTCCCCAAGTGTTTCCCTGCGGACCCGGATCCAGGGAATGGGAATACTTTGGTGGGAAATGCTACTACTTCTCCCTCACCAGGACGAGCTGGCACAAAGCGAAGGCTCAGTGCGAGGAGATGCGCTCGCAGCTCGCTGTCGTTGACAGCTACGCCAAGCAGGTAAAGAGCCGGCTCCAAGCGGGAATGGCCGGGATCCTGCCCCCTTCCGTGTCCCTCCTGGATCCTGCCCCCTTCCGTGTCCCTCCTGGACCCTGCCATCGCCTACAGCAGCCAGCAGAGAGCAGGCAGAGCCTGCGCTGCCTGCAGCCGGGGCTCCGCTTGGCTGCGCTGGGGATGCTCAGACCCAGCAGCGGCACCCATCCTGTGCATCCTGTACACGGGGTAGATACCCCCTTACCCCCTAAATCCACAGCCAAGGGCAGAGCTGAAGCTCCCCAGCTCCTCTCTGAGCCCTTCCATAGACTTCTTCCATAGAATTCCCCCGGGTGCGGGCTGGAGGAGCCCTTTCCTGGCGCTTTTCCCTCCTGATCCCTCTCCCCGCTGCAGAATTTTGTCATGTTCAGGACAAGGAATGAGCGTTTCTGGATCGGGCTCACGGATGAGAACTCGGAAGGGGAATGGGAATGGGTGGACGGGACAGACTACAAAACCACCTTCACGTGAGTGCTGCCCTGGGTGCCTGTGCCCAGCACCCCGATGGGGTTCCTATGCCCAGCACCCCGATGGGGTTCCTATGTGTAGCACCACAATGGGGTTCCTATGCCCATCACCCCAATAGGGTTCCTATGCCCAGCACCACAATGGAGTTCCTATGCCCATCACCCCGATGGGGTTCCTATGCCCATCACCCCGGTGGGGTTCCTATGCCCAGCACCCCAATTGCATTCCTATGCCCATCACCCCGATGGGGTTCCTATGCCCAGCACCCCGGTGGGGTTCCTATGCCCATCACCCCAATAGGGTTCCTATACCCATCACTACAATGGAGTTCCTATGCCCATCACCCCGATGGGGGTTCCTATGCCCATCACCCCGATGGGGTTCCTATGCCCAGCACCCCAGTGGGGTTCCTATGGCTCCTGCTTCACCCTGCCCCGCTCTAGCACAGCAACAGAGGCAGAAATGAGCACCTAAACCGCGTGAAATCAGCCAGATTTAGCCCATATCTGCCCGCACTCAACCAGATCCTTCTCTGCCCAGGTTTTGGAAGGAGGGAGAGCCCAATAACAGCGGCAACAATGAGGATTGTGCCCACCTCTGGGTGTCGGGGAAGTGGAACGATGTCTACTGCACCTACGAGTGCTACTACATCTGCGAGAAGCCTGTGCCCCAGTGAGCAAAGCCGCTCATGGAGATGCTCTGGCGCCACGAACGTTCCTTCCTCCTCTTAACTTATGCTCTCTGCTCTGTCCCGAGGAAGAGCAGGGATGGATTTGGATGGTCCGAAGCGATATCCATAGGAATCTGGGCTCTCCATGGGGAGCTCAGCCTAATAAAGGACAATCGTTGCTCTGGTTAACGAAGCTTCTCTGTTTCTAGGCATGAAGGGCTGTGGGAGGGGAGCGGGAGGCATGGAGCAACACTGCAGGTCAGAGATGCCAGGAGCAGGCTGGAGATAAATGGGGTGCAATGCTCCAGTGGCGGGGTTTGGAACTGGACGATCTTAAGGTCCTTCCCAACCCAAACCATTCCATGATTTAGGATTAGATGGATATGGGATTTGCTGCCCACCGTGCATCCCAGGAGCATCTCCCATGGTACCACCGGGAAGGGGAGGCGTGGATGGAGCAGAGCTGAGCTCCATCCATGAGGATTTGGTGCCTCTGCCGTGACCCTTCCTGCTCCTGAAGGGGTTTGGTGCTCAGGGCAGCTCTGCACCCCCAAGAACTACCCTGTACCCCCCACCTCCGCCCGGCTCGAGTCCCGGCCACTGCACAGGGGATCCAAGTGGAGCCCCAGGGACCCCGGGAACACGGGGCTGGAAACGGGCTTTGCTTTCCTCCAGAGACCCCACAGCACCACCTGGGGGGCTCGGACGGGGACACCTCGAGCTCCTCCATGGGCTCTGTACCGTGCACAAGTGAGTGCGCAGAGCGCAAGGTGCCCAGGGCGAGGTGCGATCGGACCCAGCTCCGGTCGCGCCGCTCGGTCCCGGTTCCCGCTTGGTCCCCGGACGATGCTGGCGCTGGATTCGTTGGAGGAGCCGCGGGGAGGACGCGGACCGGTTCCGCTTCTCCCCCCCCTCCCCGCCCCTCTGGGACCGTCCCCACCGGGAGCCGAACGGGTCCACGGCGGCCCCGACGGCGGGAGGGCGCGCGTCCGCTTGCCCTATTGGCGACACCGCTGTCGCGACAGAGCCCGGCAACCCCGCGGTGAGCGGCGGAGCGCAGCCCCCCACCCCATCTCCCCCCTTTCGGGGGGACCCGTCGGTATCGCACCGGGAGAGGGGAAAAGGGGGGGGGGGGGGGGTCCCACCTCGATGGGGCCCCCGCCGCGCTCCCGGCTCAGGCGCGCTCCCGGGGGAGGCGGGGGGCGGCGGCGCGCACGGGCGCGGGCACGGGCGGGGGCTGCGCGCTCTGCCCCGCGCACGGTCGCGCCCCGCTCGGCTCCATTCCCGTCCCCTCCCCGCCGCCGGGATCGTTATCCCGGTGAGTGCCCGTCGATGGACGGGGCGGGCGCAGGGATGCGGGGTCGAGAACCGACGGCCGGGATGCTCCGTGCGGGGGGAGACGCGGGTGTGCGCCCCGTCCGTGAGCGGAGAGCCCGGCACCGGCAGCGCAGGGACCCGTCGGGTCGCCGTGTCCCGAGCGGACGGGACGGGATGGAAAGCGGGGGGGTGCTGGGCAACAGCGCCGCCGGAGCCCCCGGTGCTGCCCCCGGTGCTGGCTCCGGGGATGCCGGGGGTAAGATCGGTCTCTACCCCAGCGGGACCGGGGGGAGCGGAGCGTGCGGCCGCCGCCGCCGCCGTGATTTCGTTGCCGTTCGTTAAGCGGAGCTCTGGGACGGGGGAAAACGAGCGGGAGGCACCGGGTAGCCCCGACCCGAGGCGGGGTCGGGCAGTCCCGCTCCTTAACGCTCCTCTCCGCCCGCAGCCCCAACGCTGGCCGCCGGGATGAAGACGGAAGAGGCTCCGTCCTGCCTGCAGCAGGCGACGCCGGTCCTGGGCTTCGGTGAGTACCGGACGCACCGGGAGCGGGTCCCACGCACCGGGGAGCACTCGCGGCCGCCTGCTCCATCCCCATCCCCATCCTCATCCTCATCCTCCCGGGCCGCTCCGGGGGTCTCGGCTTGTCCCTAAGTTCCAGCGGGACCCGCAGGCCCTGCTTGCGCTTCCCGTTCTTCCCCCGCCCGAACGATCCCATCGGTATTCCCGGCTCCTCTGCCGCGTTCCTTCCCCGCTGTCGGCATTATCGGGGTGAGCAGCGGGGAGGGAGCACCCCCTCGCCCAGCCTGGCTTGGTGGGTTGGTGATGCTGAGGCAGCCAAAGGCACTGCAAGGTGTTGGCGCGCTGCAAAATGGCATCTTGGCACCCCAAAGCATCCCTGGCCACGGACACAGCACAAGGGGACAGAGCCTGGGGGGGGACAGGGACACCAGGAGCATCCATCCCTTGTCTGTCCCAGCCTCCTGGATAAGCCCCTTCAGAGCCTCAGGGTATCCCGGTCCTTGGTTGATTTTAGGGAGTATCCCACGCAGGGCCCTGGACCATGGGGTGCTGCCGATCCAAATTGGGAATTCCAGGCAGGAAATCTGCCCGTTGGGTATTCACAAGCCTGGGGAGGGCCTGGATGCAGGGGGTTAAGTTTGGATAACACCGGGGTGAGGCACCGGAGCTGCCTCCCGCATCCCCCTGAGCTGCTTCCCGCATCCCCTTTCCACCCCTTCCTTGTTGTCCCTTTTCCCTTCCTCGGGGAGCCATGACATGGAAGGTGGGAATGCTCCTCGTTAACACCCCTGTGGGTCCAAACTGTTGCATTTTCAGGAGCCCGGTGTCTTTAAGGCAGAACCTCCTTTACTTTCAGTTTTGCTCCTTCTCCCGCTCTGCCTTGGGGGACGGGAGGGATTCAGGCACTTTTCCTGGGGTTTTCTGCATCCCTTTTCCACCTCGGAGCTCGGGATCGCTCCCAATGTGTTGCAGCATCACCGTGCTGGTGGCCTTGTGCTGAGGGACTCACGTGTGGCTTATTGCAGGGCTCTAACCCCCTGCTTGGGCCCTGCATCCCGAGCCAGCATCCTGCTGCTTCCCATCACCCCGACTCCTTGGCATCCTCCTGCCTGCTCAGGGACAGACATCCCCAGGCTGAAGTTCTGGGTCTCTCCCTTTGAGGCTGATCCCACATTCCCAGAGCTCCAGCCTGGTTTTCTATTGGATTATTCCCTGTTTTCCCCCTTAAATCAACCAGGAATTGGGGATTTGTAGTCCCAGATGCCTCCAACCCACTGGAGCCTGTGGGTCACACGCAGCCCATGGGCTGGAAGTCAAGAAGGGTGACAACGTTTGATGGCAGGAGCTAAAAACAGAAGGAAAAGTGACAAATGGAGCCTCAATGTGTGATAAATATCCATGGAGAAGCCCTGTGCGTGCCCATAGCCCCTGGCATGCGGTTCCTTGTTGCCTTGGCCATGCAAGCTGCTGCTCCGGCATCACCAGCTATTCCCTTTCCTTCTTCTGGGATTAAATCCTCATTCCCATTCCTGATGCGCTGGCTCCCAATGTGCAGGAGGGGGTCTGGTCCCCTTCCAGCTGCTGTTGTCACCCAGGACCCAGCACTTGCTGTGCTTGGTGCAGCATCACCCAGCACAGGGATGCAGGCAATGCCCAATGCAGGACCCAAAGCTGCCTTTACACCAAACACCCCTTTTGGGGGGGGGCATAGAATGGTCCTCACAAAGTCCCTTCTTGTGTTGGTGCAACCACAGCAGCCTCCTCAAGGCATTTGTGGGCTTTCAAATGACCTCAGGGCATGGGGGAAGCTAAAACTGGGTGTTTGGGAACTTCCTGCTCATGGCTCCTGCATCCTGGGGTCCTGCTGGCTCTGTGCTCCACTCATCCAGGGGGAAAAGCAGCTGCTTCCTCAGTGAAGGAGCACGGTCCTAAGAGCAGAAGCATCACCCATGGGATGCCATCATGGCCCCAACCCTTCCAGGGGGCTTGGGAAGGTGCCACCCTGGGATGGAGAAGCTCACAGGGGGGATAAAGGCACGGAGAAGCCGTAGAGGACAAGGAGAAGGAGGCTGTGGCCATTGGAGAGGCTGAAGCTGCCTGGCTCGGCTGCAGGGAGAGCGTTTATTGCTCACTCCTTCACCTTCGAGTTCTGCCGAAGCCTTTGAAGAGCAGCCACAGATTTACGTGTTGATAACGGCGAGGAGGAGCAGCAGCAAATCCCAAAGCTCTGGAGGCGTTTGAAGCCGCTCTCAGCACCAAATCTGGGGTGAAAACTCCCTTCTCAGGGCATCGCTTCGCCTCCTGGCACGGGAGAACTCCCTTCTCGCGGCGTCTTTTCTCCTCCAAGCACAGGAATCATAGGATCATGGAACGGGTTGGGTTGGAAAGGAGATGAAGATGATCCGGTTCCAACCCCCTGCCGTGGGCAGGGACACCTCACCCTTAGACCATGGCACCCAAGGCTTTGTCTTGAGCACTGCCAGGGATGGAGCACCCATCACTTCTCCCATTCAACCCATGCCAGTGCCTCAGCACCCTCCCAGGGCAGAACTTCCTTATCTCCAAGTTGAACTTCCCTGTTTCAGTCTGAACCCATCACCCCTTGGCCTGTCCCTCATGCAGGTCCCTCTCCAGCATCCCTGTGTCCCCTTTAGCTACTGAGAGCTGCCCTGAGGTCTCCTTGCAGCTTCTCTTCTCCAGCCCCAACGCTCCCCACCTGGCTCCACGGGGGAGCTGCTCCAACAGCCCCGCATCCCTGTTCCGTGGAGGAGCATCCCCTTCTCACTGCATCCTTTTCACTCCGGTTCCAGGTCCCGACTCCAAGATGCGGGAGGTGTGCGCGGGATGCGAGACCCCCATCTCCGACCGCTTCCTGCTCCGTGTCAACGAGCGCTCGTGGCACGAGGCCTGTGTGAAATGCGCCGTGTGCCTGCAGCCCCTGGCCGGGACCTGCTACAGCCGCAACCGGCAGCTCTACTGCAAGCACGACTACGAGAAGTAAGTGGTTCCCGGTGGCATCCCCTCTTCCTGCCCATCCCGGCTCTGTTCGGACCATGTTGGGATTGGGTTGGGGGGTGAGGAAAGCCTTTGTGGTGTTGGTGGCACAGAGGTTGGTGAGATGCTCGTGGTCTCCATAGGGATGCTTTGGGATGGGAAGTGAGCAGCTTTGATTTAATGTTGTGATGTGGATGGAGAGGAGTAAGTGATTCCCAGTGTTCTCCCCTCTTCCTGCCCATCCCGGCTCTGCTTCGGACCATGTTGGGATTGGGTTGGGGGATGAGGAAAGGCGTCATGGTGTTGGTGGCACCGAGGTTGGTGAGATGCTCGTGGTCTCCATAGGGATGCTTTGGGATGGGAAGTGAGCAGCTTTGATTTAATGTTGTGATGTGGATGGAGAGGAGTAAGTGATTCCCGGTGTTCTCCCCTCTTCCTGCCCATCCTGGCTCTGTTCGGACCATGTTGGGATGGGGTTGGGGGGTGAGGAAAGGCTTTGTGGTGTTGGTGGCACAGAGGTTGGTGAGATGCTCGTGGTCTCCATAGGGATGCTTTGGGATGGGAAGTGAGCAGCTTTGATTTAATGTTGTGATGTGGATGGAGAGGAGTAAGTGATTCCCGGTGGCATCCCCTCTTCCTGCCCATCCCGGCTCTGCTTGGACCATGTTGGGATGGGGTTGGGGGATGAGGAAAGCCTTTGTGGTGTTGGTGGCACAGAGGTTGGTGAGATGCTTGTGGTCTCCATAGGGATGCTTTGGGATGGGAAGTGAGCAGCTTTGATTTAATGCTGTGATGTGGATGGAGAGGAGTAAGTGGTTCCCGGTGGCATCCCCTCTTCCTGCCCATCCCGGCTCTGCTTGGACCATGTTGGGATTGGGTTGGGGGATGAGGAAAGCCTTTGTGGTGTTGGTGACACGGAGGTTGGTGAGATGCTCGTGGTCTCCATAGGGATGCTTTGGGATGGGAAGTGAGCAGCTTTGATTTAACGCGGTGATGTGGATGGAGAGGAAGAAGGGATGAGCTCTTGGTTGTTGTGACCTCAAAGCCCGTTGTGGCCTCCTGTGTGTGGCACTTGCTGGTCAGAGCTGGGGCAGGACACACAACGCAGGCATCCAGGGATGCTGCTGGGAAGAGGCTCCATCAATCCCCTGGTGTTTGGCAGCATCCTTTAAAGCCTTGACGGCCCAATCTTATCTTCCCTGTGCTTCACAAAGGAGAGCGCAGCCTCCTCCCTTGGGCTGGACAAGGGCTGGGAATGGTGCAACTGGCTCGAGTAACCAGATAAGAACATGTTTGCTGTAAGGAGCACGGTCTCCTCCTCCGGGTGCCGGTCCTGAGGCCGGTGACAGCATTCCCACGTGGAAAGCCTCCAACACTGCTCTTTGCCATTGGTTTTGGGGGCAGGATAACAGTGTGACCACGCTGGTTTTCCTGCCTCCGGTCCACTCCAATGCTCCAAACCACCCCTGAAAAGCTCCAGCTCCTCAGGCGCTTCCAAAGGCGTCTCCACTCAGCACCTTTGTGCTTCCAGCATGGGAATTTCCTCCTGTTTGGGTCTCTTATCCCCCAACTCCCCCCCAGCCTGTTGCATCTTGGCCTTGACTTGCCAAAGCTCATGGATTTGGCCGGCGATGAATCCCAGGCTGTAGGATCCAGCATCGCCCTGGGCTTCGTGGTGACCTGGAGGGGAGACCCATCTGGCACCGAGCCCTGCTCATGTGAAGCTGCTCCAGGAGAGGGAAATGCTTTAACGGGGAGATAAGGCAGCAGCAGCTGCAGCTGGACGTGGGCTGTGGAGCTCCGGATGGAAGGCTCAGCATCAAGATGGATGTTGCTCCGTCCTTACCCCATCCACCCACAGCCTGGAGGCTTGCGGGAGCCTCTTCCCCTCCTAGCTGGGGCCCAGGCACCTGCCCTGTAAACCCAGCACGTGGAAAGGCAAAGGATGAGGGATGCAGGGGGGGGATGAAGGGGAACCCCCCCCCTCAAAGGGACGATAGCGCCGGGTGCTGTGCTTTGAAGTGTGCTCGTGGCCTGCCAGGGCTGGGGGAGCTGCCGGGGGATCGGAGCCGTTGGAAGCCTTCCCCTCTCCTCCGCAGGCCTCCCCTGGCCCATGTGGAGATGATTTGCTCCGAGGGACTCGGGCTTGAACTCGGCTCGAACTCGCCTTGAAGCTTCCCCATCGCCGCTGAGCACGGAGCGAGGCCTCCAAGCGCCCTCGGTGGGAGGGTTGAGGATGGGGGGGGGACACCAGACCATGGAATCAGGGAATGGGATGGGTTGGAAAGGAGCTGGAGGTCACCCGGTTCCAGCCCCCTGCCACGGGCAGGGATGCCTCACCTTAAACCGTGGCCCCCAAGGCTCTGTTTGAACCCTGCTAGGGATGGAGCACCCATCACTTCTCCATTCAACCCATGCCAGTGTCCCAGCACCCTCCCAGGGCAGAACTTCCTTATCTCCGAGCTGAACTTCCCTGTTTCAGTCTGACCCCATCACCCCTTGTCTGATCCCTACAGTCCCTGATGGTCCCTCTCCAGCATCCTTGTAGCCCCTTTCAGATACTGGAAGTGCAGTCACCGGCTCTGCCCGCATCCCTTTTAGGGTCCTCTTGGAGCTGGTCCCATCCTTGCTGGCTGAGATGGGCAGGACCTTATGGTGCACGTGAAGTCACAAGGATATTCCTACCCATGATGTTGACAGCCCATGAAAGGGTGGCCAAGGCTTGGGAAGATGCCTTTGGAAACCCATCCCAAACACCCTCATCCATCCCTGTGCACCAAGCACGGATGCTCAGAGATGGGAAAGCTGGGCTCTGAGGCAGCATCGTTTGGTACCCTGGAAGCACATCCAGCATCGTCCTGTTGGGACCATTCTGCCCCATCCTCTGGGCTGTGGGGGACAGGGAAAGCCCAGAAGGGAGGTGAACACTGTGATGTGAATGGAATGGCTTGGAAAACGGGGAATGCGAGCTGGCTTTTTGCATTAGGTGGAGGAAGGAGCTTGAAGAAGTAGGTTCGGGCGATGGCTGGGATGCAGAGGGAGGCCAAAGGCACCCCAAAGCCTTTTGTGCACCCAGAGAAGTAGCCAAGGAGCAGCTGAAGAGGCAGAGAGTGAAGCATTGACCCTCCCTGAGCCGCATCCAGCCCCTTGGCAGCTCTTCTGAGCGAGCTGGTTAATGTTTAAAGCCATGTGGGAGGGCTCCTGTCGGAGCAAAGGTAGGAGAAGGGCAGGACAAACCCCACTGCATTCCAGGGGCAGGAGTCAGGCCCTAAAAGCGATGGAATTCACGTTGGAAGCAGAAGGATTTGTTGGGTTTGTTTCTCCTTCCCCTTTGTGGCACCTGGGATGGTTGGTGAGAGGATCATCAGAGCACTTCCTAAGCTTGAGGACAGGGAAAACAGAGCTTGGGACGTGTTGATAACCAAAAAACAGGGATTCAAGGACAAAACAGTGCCTAAAAGTGGCTGATTGCAAGGGCTGATGATGGCTGCTGCTTGTAAAAGGGGGCTTCTGGTGGCTCGTCCATAGAATGCTTGGGGTTGGAGAGGACCTTAGGATCATCCCGTTCCAACCCCAAGCTTTGCTTTACCAAAGGCCTGTGCCAAGCATCCCAGGCAGCAGGCAGGGCTCCATGCTTGGCCATGGGCAGCAATGGGGTCGTCCTCCCCCCCATGTCTCTGTCTTCTCCTGCCCTCGCTCCCCACCAGGCTGGAGGCTGTAATAGGAGCGAGCAGATAAATGAGGCAATGAAGCACATGGAGGGGATGGATGGATGGATGGATGGATGGATGGATGGATGGATGGATGGATGGATGGAGCCCCTGTGCCCGGGAACAGCCCCTGCAGGTACCCCCACGAGCAGCACAGCAGGAGATGAGGGGATGCAGGAGGTGCACCCTGCATCTCCCACTTCCTTTGGGTTGGGTGATGGGGCTGAGCTTGGGCACCCTTTGACAGCACCCATGCAGTGCTCCTCCCACCAGCATCCCCAGGCTTCATCAACCCACCCCATCCCAGAATCTCCTGCCTTTCCCCCCCCCCCCCCATCCCAAAGATTCCCTCCTTCCTCGTTGGGTGGGTGGCTGAGCCCCGGCTCCCACAGGGAGCGGAGCCCATCTGGTGATGAATGACATTCATTACACAGAGCTGAGCTTCTCCCAGCCCAGGTCCTGCTGTTCCCTCGCCTTGCTTTGCTCCCAGGGCCCAGGAAATGAAGCACGAACTCCATAACCACCGGGCAAGATGCAGATGGGCCTCGAGTGGGATTAAGGGAGCAGCCACCACGTGCTCTCTGCCTCCCTGCAGCCAGTTCCATGCACGGGGGAGGCAGATCTTTGGGCCTGGGTGATGAAATGCCCTTTACTTGGATGGATCCTTGCTCTTTTTGGCTGCTTTCCCTTCCAAGCTCCATGTCCCAGGGCTTTGAGTCTCTCCCGGTCCTCTGGTCATCAACTTACACCCTACTCCCAGGCAGAGCTGCCTTTAACCATCTCCTTGGGTGCTGGGGCTATGGTCTAAGATCAGCTCTTCCTGCAGGAATCATAGGATCATGGGATGGATTGGGTTAGAAAGGACCTTAACATCACCCAGTTCCAAGCCCCTGCCATGGGCTAGACCGTGTCACCCAGGGAAAAGGAATAAATGAACCCCAAAAGGTTTGGATAGCAAAGTGAACAGCAGTGATTCAAGGTATCACCCCCTCCCAAGCAGAGGACACTGGTGCAGCTGGTTTGGACCCTTGGCACTTGTAATGAAAGATGTTTCTTATCCCTTTCAGGTGTCTTTATGGGCACACAAAGCTTGTCCAAAGCTTCTTGTGGCCCCTTTAGGCACTGGAGCTGCCCTAAGGTCTCCCCTTAAGGAGCCTTCTCTTCTCTGGGGGTTGATGCTCTTCTCATCCCAGCACCTCCACTCCCTTCCCCATGCCTGGAACGCCTGCAGCACTGGGGTCTGGATGTTTCCTGCGCTCACTGCGCGCTGCAGCTCACATCCCCTTTCCTAAG